GTACAGTTAGAGTTTTTCACGTTAAACGTTTCGGAGTCCCAGTTACATACCAAATAGACCAATCTGACTCAAATGCAGTCGCAATAAATGTTATCATTATTAAAGTTTTCCATTTTACTGTCTTCGAATCATTTTCTTCAGTTACAAGATTTGTTTAAGCCCTGTGCTTAATTATGGGGTTTATATTTGTTAACGGAGGGTCATTTTCCGTTATTAAGCCCAGGGCTTAAATGACAAACACTTCACATGAGCACAGACACAGTTTTGTATAAAGGTTTTGTTTTGTTTTTTGTTTTGTTTTTTTGTGGAAGTTGTTTTGGGGACCGCACAGACACGGAACAAGGTACCATCGTGACAGTGAATTTAAACGTAGGCCGTGATTGACTTGATATCAAATATCTTGGCGGAATGATTATTCTTGTTGTGTTTAAGAACAAATCCCACAATGACTAATTCAAGCGAGTGTTTTCGTATTGGGCAGCCGGAGGTGAAAATTTTTCTATTCATTTATCAAGACCAAAGCTTCAACTGTATATATGTTTTCCGGTTTTTCAAGAAGGACAACACAGGGAAGTAAGTTGGTGCATGAGAATAACCTTCAGGACAGTATGAGTCCTACAGAGAGAGGTGGCTGGTGTAACCTGTTGGGCTGCTGGCTGCCAGGGGAAACATACACTGGGGTCGTGTAGCTGCTCCTCCTGCTCAGTGTCAGGATGCAGCCAGCGTGTTACATCAGTGGGCAGAGATGACCTTGATGGATGGAGATCCGGCCAGAGTCTGAAGCTGACATACCGCCACAGTCACAGAGGCTGACTCACGCCGGCGTCTGCAGCGTCTTCTCACGACAGAACAGGTTCCACCCCGTCGTTTCCAACGACACTGCGACACGGACCCTGTCAAACAATGATGTAATGTGCTGTGTATATTCAGTGCTGGTAATTTTCCTGTTTAACTGGATACATCGTTAAAATGTTCTCTGCTTTTGTATGTAAAATCCTTCAGTGTTTGTATCAGAACAAAGGACATAAACTTCAACGTAATACTAACATAGTTATCCTGTATTTGTAGAAGTACAATTACAGAAGCCCAACAGGACCCCACACTTGTCTTGATGTTTCTAATGGGGATTGAGGGGTTACAGCCTGTGACTGACTGATTGTGTATTGGGGTTGGGGCTAGGGTGGAAGGGGTCACCGTCTGGTTTGTTTGACCCAATCCAAAGTAACATCGTGTGCTGCACACAATGTAGGTGTAACTTCGGTCCACGTGGATCTCGCTGTTAGCATCATCTCTCCTAGTCTGTCTACCAGACCCTAGAAAATAAATTGAATGGGAGCCCTACTTAAGTCTAGAATCAGTTAGCAAGTCAAGATTGCCTCAGTTCTTGGCCTGACATGATTTATCGTTCTGTGCTTCATTTGGATTTGTTTTGTAGATGAATATTTATATGATATCTTTATTTCTTATACTATATATCAGAGTACATTTCTCCACAGGCGTTGAGACGAAGTTAGATCAGTATCTACATCTCCAGTAGCTGCTGCTTATCTTTATTACAGTTAATAACCGCTCCTGGGGCAATACGAAAATAGTGTAAACGTAACCTCACTGAACACGTTATATAAGTGGCCCCGTTCTGCCATAGTGTAAGCCTAGATGCGGAGTGTGATAGCAGCTTCAGTGATATCTATATGGTGTTAATATATAGATACATGGCGTGGCAATGAAGATATCGATGGAAGAGAAAACAGACGCATGTCTTCTCGTAGTAATCCATTAGTAGTAACTGTCGTAACATGAGGAATATGATATTGTGAATTAGTGACGTTTTTCTTTCTTCCACGTGTAACCCTTTTACTTCAAGTATGTCCAAGTATACAGTGGTTGAATCAGGACTGATTGTAGGAACAATAAACACAAAATCAAAGTAAGAACACACCTGTGATCATTAACTTTTTCTCCTAAAATAACAGTTTTCGTCATGAAATTTCTGAAAACATCTAAAATCAGACACATCCATACATTTTAACATTTAGTGTTGTAACCGTTTCAAGACATGCATGTGTTCAAATAACCTAAGTTAGAACAACGGTCAGAACAATTTCGAAACGTGTTTGCTATATTATACATTATGGTGACCTGTTGGCCAATCTAGCTATTCTTTACAATCACATCGATATCTTCAGTGTTTTTATACTCTGCGGCTGACATGGACCCCAAATCGTTACACAACGATGAGGTTGTGTGCTGTACACAAGGGGGCACAACGCTGTTCAGTCATTTTTTTCTATTTATAGTGATTATGCTCTTTCTTAATTTATGAGCTGCAAAATATGAAATACATTCGTCAGACCTGAGAGAGAAACTCAACAGACATGGACACATGTGCTATATACTACAAGGTTTTAAACAACTGGAAGTACTTAAATCATTGTATTGGAAACATCATGTACACATTACCCAGGGCACACTGTTTAAGAATGTGTTGGTGAAGATGTAGCTATTGGATGTGACAGTTTAGTGGTGATTGTCATACCGGGGAGAAACTCGAACAGTTACGTAGAGACTATATCAATATATCTATAGTTCTTGGGCATGGTACAGGTGAGAAAATATCTTCCTTTCGGCTGACCTTTGGGAGGAAACCTTCATCTTTTTCCAGACAATGACGTTGTGGTTTAAATGTCTTGCAGATGCAGAAACTAATCCTAATTCAAATTTCCATTTCAGTTGTCATGACATTTGTCTTGAAGAGACGATACATTGTGTCCACATGCTCTTGTTGCCTTGGTATTGTTGTGTGACTCTCACGATGAATTATTATGCCTTAGATTTCTTTTTCCATGTTCTTTTTCATAATAAAATAATGTTCTAAACACCAGGAAGATACAGGTTTGAGCTGGAGTCGAGGATGTAAACAAATATTGCTTTCTTAATACATGAAGTATTTGTAATTATTCCAAATGTCACTAATGGTGAGAATAGATCGGAGCAGTTGATGTGATAATGTCTTGATATATTACAATATTCACTTTGTAGAGAACAATGTCAATATGGAAACATTGGCGGACCCGGGTGTGTGTGCGCGTGCGTGTGTGCGCGTGGGTGTGTTGGGGGTCCAGGGGTTCGAACCCCAGAGCCCACCCCCACCACCCCTTTTTGAAAATTCATGGTTCCACCTATGGGAAACATGCCACACAAAGTTCCACATACACCTGTAGTAACACGGTGTGATAGTTAATTACTCGCTGTCGCGAATTTCAGACTGTCTTCGACTGTCATCAGCAACATGGTGACTCAACCAGACATATATAGACACGTTTCATCTGTTTCAACTGCTCAGTGACTCGTGGAACAAGTTTCTGAACTCGACTCCCACGATAACTGCAAGCAATGTCCGAGATACTGCCACTATGGCTCATTGGACGGGTTGATCTTCTCAACACTGCTGAACACAGATGGACACTTGTACAGATATGATGAAAGACATTGACATATATACCGAACATATATCCCGAATACCGTTGACCACTAACATATATACCGGACATATATCCCGAATACCGTTGACCACTAACGGACAGGGGCGGTGGGGTAGCCTAGTGGTTAAAGCGTTGGCTCGTCACGCCGAAAACCCGGGTTCGATTCCCCACATGGGCACAATGTGTTAAGCCCATCTCGGTGTCCCCCGCCGTGATATTGCTGGAATATTGCTAAAAGCGGCGTAAAACTAAACTCAGTCAGTCAGTCAGTCAGACTAACGGACATATATCCCGAATACCGTTCAATACTTACGGACATTTATATGAATACCGTTGACCACTAACGGACATATATCCCGAATAACGTTGACCACTAACGGACATATATCCAGAATACCGTTGACCACTAACGGACATATATCCAGAATACCGTTGACCACTAACGGACATATATCCCGAATAACGTTGACCACTAACGGACATATATCCCGAATAACGTTGACCCCTAACGGACATATATCCCGAATAACGTTGACCACTAACGGACATATATCCAGAATACCGTTGACCACTAACGGACATATATCCCGAATAACGTTGACCACTAACGGACATATATCCAGAATACCGTTGACCTCTGGAGGACATTTATACTGAATACAAGTGAATCACCTAAATAATGACGCCGGTCTACGCGTGTGTTGTTTATAAATACAGGTAAAGATAATGACGTTTTAAAGAGGAGAAACTCGATATGAAATGAAAACATGCAACAACAAACTGCTGATGGAAATCCAGATGGTGCATTCCTACTGCAGCGTGTGTTGACGAGACATTGAACTGTAGTACAAGTGTGTGAACTGCTGGGGAATACTATCAAGTATTGTTTTCTCTGTCAGTGGTCCCATATATACGAGACTGACGTCATTAGTACTGTTTCAGTTTGAGAATGTGTTAATGGTGCAGATTCAGCGCTGTGGTGTATATGCTAAATTGTGGTTTTCTCTTTACGCTTAACTTCCTATACGTTAACATCTGTTATTATCTTCCACGAACAGATCATTTTCTAGTCCACGAAGAAATTGAACTGAACACGAAATAGTGGATTTTTTAATGACAACTGCATATTCTTAGGTCGTAAATCTGCAATAATGTTAATTTGACAAGTATCAGCTTACGACACCACTCCTGCGAGTACCAATGTACGCATACACTTGAACAAGTCCCTGAGGTAATAATTAATGTTTAAATGATAATTTCTAAAACATATAAATATCATCCTAACAGACTGGCGTCCATGTACTGGCCGCTTATCTAGATTTGCCTCTTTAAAGGATAGAATTACTTCAATACAGCCTTGGATCAAGGCTACCGTACTGCTGACTGACGGCTGTATTATTAGAGAGCAAGTATACACTCTACACAGTTCCTTCTCCGCCAGGTGCTTGTTCGTTAGATCAAGCGACAGTGGTCTGTCTAGCTGCTGCGTCACATTGAAATCAGAACAAAGCTGGATTGTTTTATATTTTCCCACATTTATTTGTAGGTGAGAGAAATGTACATGGTTTGTCATGCCAATAACTGAACACGTTGTGGTTCGTTGCTATTTACAAGTCACACATACACACACAGATATCATTCAGGTAACAAATATAACAAAAACATTTACTCTCACATTCACTCATTCAACATAGCATTTGGTGGAAATTCAGTGATATAATAAATAATCATGGCAACAAGATTGGATCATTTTGATTGACAGATATCTACAAATTTGATTTGATATGTATCTACCTGATTGAAAACAAACGGCTCTCAACACTTCAGAAATGCAGAGACCATATACAGTCGGTATATGGTCTCTGAGCAATGTAAGTCAGTCACAATCATAACTGTCGGTCTTGTTGTTCAATAAAGCACCACATTATCTAAGTAACAACAAACTTAGAAGAAAAACAACTGGAACTGTGATTGATAGTCACAAACTTTCTGAAAACTTTGGCATCAACTTTCTAAAATCTTTGTTACAATTTTACTGTCTTGTTAAATCCTTACCTTACAGTTTAAACTACAGTGTCAGTAACAATGATATTCTGCTATGGTTCAGATGCTTCACATTGTTTGAGTCACAGAGCTGTAAAACTCATTTAATGTTCAGGAAATGTCAGTGTCATATTTGCAATCAAAACGTGTTAATATCACATTGTCCACTGATTGGCAGCTAATGAAAGCTGGCGGAGATGAGAAATGTTAATTTCACATTGACATGAATCAATAGCCGTTGCCAATTGTGTTGCCCTACCACCAGCCCTGGTGGTACCACACACCCTGGGTGCTTATTGCTTGGGACATAATCCTCAGACCTGGTCCTCATAAAGAAATAGTTTGCATCAATTACCAGCTTTTATCACCCAAACATCAAACACTGACATCTCCTGTGCAGGAACACAGTGGCTGCATTTGTGAAACTGACAATTTTATGATATCTCTGGCAAGATATTGCTTTCAAAATACCCATTGTACTAATTAACAGATACGTAATCAAATAATGCTGATTGGTAATATATCATTATTGGAATTACAACAATACTATAAAATAATTTAATTCTAATGACTACAAACCCAGTTCATATCAATGAGGCCACTGAACGTTCAGGTCCTAACACTTTCTGTGATTTGTGCTCAGCAAAAACATCCTGCAAGATCAGTAATTCTATCATTTCTGTTGACGCATGAAATTCCAATCATATTAACGATGAGAAAAAATATTTTCTCATGCTTTTAAATTAATCATCATATTTGCTAGGTTTTACTTCATCAATATTTCATATTGTGTCAGCTCCAATAATAAGCACGACACTCAGCTGGCAAATGAAGCCAGGGGAATCTCATCAATTATTTTCTACTCTAGCTCGGAGTCCACAATTTCTCACGTTTGACGAAGGGTGAAATATTTTTCAGAAGATGCTCAGAATATTGTCTCTAAATTGCCCAAGGTGTGAGTGAAACATCTGAGAACAACTGACATTACAAGAATAATGATAAGTTAAATTCTCCATATATGGAAGTACGTGTACTTTAAACATTATCAATCATACTTTTCATTTTCAAACATCAGATGGAAGTTCTTTATATCCTAATTATCCTGATTTCATAATAATCTGTAAAACAATACAAGAGTATATATAAAAATTGTATACTCAAAACATTAAATATCAGTTTTAATATGTATGGAAGCCTTCATTAAAGCCACTTTTTGAACAACACAAATGCGAATGCCTTCATGTCAAGCCATAAAGCAGGTGAAACCATTGTCTTTGGGATATTCCATGGAGGAAGGGTCATGGAACCGTGGAACGTCATGGACGATGCTGCAGAGTTTAGCACACTTGCAACTGATGTGGACAATGACATAAGATGCTAATGTCATACCACAACATCCTTGAAGTCATTGAAGTCTAAATTCACACAGGACTCATCATTGTCAATAGTATAGCTCCCTGAGGTCGTCGTCGACCTGTCATCGCCATCCTCTGTTGTTGCAATACTGTCGTTTCTCCAGTCTCTCACATGTGTGATATGATCTTGCACCGGTAAATGGAAATCGGACACAGACTTCTTGCACCCACCATGGTAAAAATTGTCATTGGTAAAAGTGGGATTTCTCACAGTGAAACCACAAGTTTGAGGGCCCCGAGGGGGAGGTTTCGGGGGTGGGTTCTGTGGGTATGTTTTGTCCATGTTTTTCACTTGTGGGTGTTTCGAAGATGGCACTTGTTGATGATGTTGAGTGGGTTCTGGGAAAATGTCAGTGCGGCCTTTGTCAGACAAGTCTCTGAAGGTCACATGCTTCCTGACACTAGCTCGAACATTGTCTTTAAGTCCCGACTTGAGAGAGCTTGGTATGGTCTGACTAGACTGGAAGCTGGTGTTGTTCAGAAGGGTATCCCGCGACATCTCATGGAGGTCTTCTGAAGAACAACATATATAATTTAGTATTGATGCTATGTAAAGCAATCATCATCATTATCATCATCATCATCATCTATAATATTAATCATAATCATTCATAATAATCACCATCATCCATAAATGCTACTATTATGATCAATAATAGTATTATTAAAACCCCTTCTACCCTATAGGGTGGTGGGGTAGCCTGGTGGTTAAAGCGTTCACTCTCACGCCGAAGACCCGGTTTGATTCCCCACATGGGTACAATGTGTGAAGCCTGTTTCTGGTGTCCCCGCCCTGATATTGCTGGAATATTGCTAAAAGCGGTGTAAAACTATACTCACTCACTCCTATCCTATATCATCACTATAATAATCTACAGCAAGATCTGTCTTTAAATATTTGCAAAGCACAGCTTTCATGTTCAATAAATAACCACTGATATAAAACAAATTCAAAACAACAAACAAATACATATCCCAATGTACCCTCCAAGTGGTACCCCTTTCACTAGCTCCTTCAACTTGTTTTTTAACTTTCCCTTCCTAATCAATACGACATTTGATCAGTTGTGTTTGTATTTCCCAGCTCCCTCTCACCGAGCAGCCCGGGGGACAACTGGGGACGGGACATGTTTTGTTCCCCAGGAGAAGTGTAGCCAAACAGAAATCCCCTGCCAGAACAGTGCAGTATTTGTGTAGAGTTGGAGTAGGCCTATTATTAGTACACCACCACTGGCCATCTCACTGCATAAGACATTCCCCTCTGTTTCTTAGCACCCTCAATATATTTCACTCATCATGTGACTGTCAATCTTGAACATGTGATCTTAGGACCAAAAGAATGCTTACAAAATGGTCCAGAAGAAGACAATACTGACTTGTTTCTTCTCCGATGTATAATGTCTCATCATTGTTTCCAGAATAATGTTTAATTACAGTGTCTTAGAGAGTTTCAAAGTTTTTAACATTTTCTTGAAATTTTCGAATTTAGAACAGTAAGGTGTATGTGCAGGTGGTTGCATTTACACGAGACACACACAGTGTCACTGTTTTACTTGTCATGACACCTGTCAGTGCATGCTGACAACGTGAAATGTACAATCACTTGCAGTGAGATTCCTGTTAAACTGTTCAATAAATATCTTAGACATTTACTGTATTTAGACTTTCTTTAGGTATTTGTTATGGAGACGGTCTCTGAGATATCAGGATGATGTAGTGTCAGAGCTCTCAAGTAGCCAATATATCTCTAATGAATGATATATATGGTCTGCTATCTTCAGGAAAACATTTCAAATCCAAAAACATCAAGAAGAGATATGTGCATTTTCATATCAGTGAACATTACCATAATTTTATTTGATTGTAAACATTGTTTTCTTCCAATGACCATGACATTTTGTACTATTCCTCACGCAGTAACGTTTCCCAAATACATTCTTCCTTATTCATTATTCACTGAGGAATTCCCTTTTAGTCTTTGATATGCTTTATTGACCATAACCCTGCCAGGATAAATATCATCACTTCATCATGAATATCTTAGCACCATATCATTACCCTTGATTAATGCTTCCATACAGGAAATATTCAATATGAGATTTATCTGCAAAGCTACATTTGTTTTAGGGGTTTAGTTTTATGCTGCACTCAGCAACATTCCAGCTATAGGACGGTATTTGTTGAAGAGATTTGTTTAGCCAACATCAATAGGTATAGAGGCAAATGCATTTTTAATTTGAGGCTTATTTTATAAATACAATTCAAATAGAACTTAAGATAAAAAATAATAATATATGATGATATAAGTTTCATGTAATTATTTTAACACATGAAAATATTGGGCATAGGGGCAAGAGGATCCGACAGCACAAACTGGACTGGCTTCGGGAAGGAAAACTAACTGCAACACAAGCAACTATATGACTAAGGGTAATTCAAGTCACAAGTCCAATTCTTCCTGAGTGACACTTACCAATCTGAGATGCTGAGGCGCCGCTGTGACTGCAGATGTCCTCTTCACTGCCGCCACGGCCGCTGTCGCTGGTTGTTGTCTCACCGGACGCATCACTGTGAACATCATCTTGAGCACGCTGCCATGCTGCAATTTTCTGTAAGATTGAAAACGTTTTACATTACCTGTTTATAAAATATTGTGCACAATTAGGTACACTATCTTCCACTTCCTGATAACTCTAAATTAGGCATGAGATTCAGTGTTTAGTGATATTCACGCTGTGTACACAGATAGGGTTCCCTTGGTTTCAGGGGGAACCATGGCCGAGATGGGCCCAGTTGATTAAAATCCCTGGGTGGCAATTTTATACCTGACATCATAACAGAGGAATAGAAGTGGAAACCACATGTGGGTTTATTATGCCATCAAAAACATCAGCTGGATTCTGCGTTTCCTCGAGATGCTCAAATACTCATTACACACTAAAATAAATCTTTCACAGATTGGAATTTCAATTCTGTTGGGACATTATCATCTCAAACTGTTTTGCATAAATCTATATCAGAAGCGTTCATTATAACAGATGTTTTGTGCCCTGAAGTACAATAATTGCCGTTATTGGTGTACCGAGTCAGCTGTCGGTGGAATGCTGACTGTCAGCTAGTGTGATCAGTTTCACCACATGAGGTCACACATGACTACCATCATAACACTGGATATTGGACATAAATCATAACAGCTCAGCTCCCTGGGGGAGAATACCATCAAGACAGTAATATTAACACCAATCACAATGGAAAACCTTTCACCATTGAATCCTACATTCAGTGATCAGCATAAGCCGCCCATTCCCAACAGCTCAGACTGCCAGACACAGGAAATACAAATCAATCACCAGGAAATATGTTTCTGGCAGATCAGATCTATAGACACTATTTTTGATAATCCAACTGAAGATGAATTATGATTTTAAATCTTTTATTAATAGCATAGTAATTTATAGAAAGACATAGTAAGATTAAAAATAGCTGTATTATTAGAATGGAGAAATGTACAAGACATTAATGGTGTATGAAACATTCCTGCCCTCTAGTTTACTGCTTGTTTTCATTACAAATGCAATATCTATACACTGTTATCACACTGCCCAATGTGTAATAAACAATGGCATGCTGATAGCAATATTGGGATGGCACATCAATACATGGCATGTAAGCAGGGACTGCTGGGTGTATGTACCTGTGTGTTAGACAGCTGATGGCCCTGGTATGTCTGCAGTAGCGCATGGTGTAGTTGCAACACCGTCAGCTGGTCCAGTCGGCCGTCACTCTCATCCCGCGTCTCTTTTGACAAACTGTACTGCTGGAAAAGAGGCACACATTTCAAACATCATATAAACTCAGCTTAGGCAATAACACAGATTGTGAGCATGTTGTTTAACAAGAAACACTTCAACTAATCAGAGCTTATCTTATATCTTCAAATTATTTGGGAATTAAATTCTATGTTTATAAATATTCTGGTGCTAAATATTAGATAGTCTAAATTGTTTTTGTAAGTAAAAACTGATCTTTTCATATTCTTATCAAATTGAAAAATAATCTGATATTAAATTTTAAAAAGTCAAAATTGTTTTTTTCTGTAAGTACTGACTTCTTAATATTCTTATCAAGTGTTCTTTTTACTTTTTTTAACCTTATCTGTATAGCATGAAGAAAAGCTGTTATCAGTTTGGCCATGATCATCTGTAGTGCCCCACAAGAAACAACTGGGTGTAATTACATTTATTTAATGGCCAGCTACAAATCTCACACTGCAATAAAAGTTGCCAACAAGTCAGAATTTATTACTGCCAGATTATTCTCACTGACTGAATTGCCAGGTGAGGTGAAATTGTTTTGAGAAAAGGAAATCTCTAGTGTCAGTCTATCACTGATAAGCCTTCCTTCAAATGATTTTATCTTGCAAGTATAATCCTTCACAGTTCTTTAAGTATGAGTACCAGTATTTATTTCTGTAAAGTAAAAGATTTACTATTACATTGCTACATAAGGGACCTTATAGGGTTCAGATTAGCTATTGACAAGTCCAGTTTTACAACTGCTGTGGTGTCCAAGTCGGCTGTTCTGCACGGCCATTATGGACAATGTATTAAGAGTATTTCCCATATTTGTGGAACAAATTGGACCGTGCATTGTTTGTGTTTGCAAAATATGAAGCCCATGTGTGAGATGCATCTCCAGAGAGAGATACTGTGAAGCAATGAATGCATTACTGTTGCTAGCACTTGATAGTTTCATGTCATAAATGCTCTGGGAGCTGGTGAGAGTTGGTTCAAGACGACCTTGATAACGAATCAAACAGGTGTAAATTCAGGAGATAGAAAGTCAATACTACAGAGGAACAGCAATGTTTGGACACGATTCAGTTACACTGACTGAAGTATTGCTTTGCTTTGCAAATTTGTGATTCTACTGCAAACACTAGACAAGCAATCTGATAAATCAGGGCAGGATTGTATTACAGGATTTTGCAGGTTGTAGCTCTCTGATTTAAAATTCATAAGCAGATGTACCTGTACAAGTTTCTGAATAAACACACCTGTTGAAAATAGAATCTATCATGCAAGTAAATTTGAAAAAATGTTTCACAATTTTACACTGCTTTACTTATAAAAGAATACTCTATGATAACTTGATAACAATATCCAATTTAGACAATCCTGAGAAAATCTGGTGTACATTTACTTTTGTTCATGCCCATTTCAATGGTGTTGACAAGTTGGCACCTCCTTCCTGCTAGATATAAGCCTTACATGACATGTCTTTTTCCTGACCATACACCAAGCCTTGCCCTGGAACCCCCATTGTAGTCCAGCAAGACAATTATTACACTAAATGATAATAACCACGCTTGGACTCAATTTGTACCTGTTTTATCTGCCCAACAATCAAAGCCAGCAGGGTGGGGTGTAATTGTACCCCTCCTGGTGATAATTCCACCCTCCACCACAAACGTGCCTGGCCACCCAACCCCAACATTCCTCTACTGTGACCACCCGTCCCTCTTGACTGGCACAAGTGTCAGTACATTTATGTCACTTGTACATTTCTTCATTGAGAAGTCAATCAAATAATGGCAAACACACTTGACACTGAAATAAGCTGTCAGAAGAAATAAAACTGTTCCTTCTTTCAATTTAAAAGCTGTGACAAATATTAGCTTTCAAAAATATAACTGATTTTATGTCCAGTATTTGAAATGACAAATTTACCTTTTTGACAGCTGGGGAGATCAGCTAATATGATGAGTTTTTCAGTGTTTGATATGCTATTGTTTCATTTTTCAGTCTGTTAGAAACTAACTGCTATTTTCTATAAAGTAAATACACTGTTCAAACAAGGCATGTTGAACCAGCACGTGATATTCACTGTGGGATCTTTACAAATATACCTGCACTAGACATTGAAATACCTCTCCAGAACTCTTACAGACTGTGTGTTCCTAAATGATAAAGACAAGCACAGAAATAACCACACACAGCACATCCACGTCATAAGTCAGTTTTGTGAAATGTGCATGTCAACACTACTGTTCATTGAGTCAAAGTTGCTCTCAAATTCCTAATATTGACACATATCATACTTGAAAACCCTTCAATGATGACAGAACCTGTTTCTTAATTTATTCAATGTCTTGAATGTAACTCACACTCATTGTACAAACAGTTGGCGGTGGAAAATATGACAGGATAATATTTCTGTCAACTCCTGTGATCCATGTCAACATATCATCTTTATTTACATGTCCCAGGGAAATCAACAACAGGACAGGTGTAAAGCACTGTTCACAATTTAGTTAAGGGTAATAAATTTGTCTTGTTGGAGTCACTGATTTATATGTACACCGCAGTAATTATGTCACGCTGGTGATTAGCATTTCGGTGTGAGGGATTAGGGGGCATGGAACGGCAGGTATGATTGGGAGGGGCACAGATCAGCGCACAGGTAAACAATAAACAGGTAACAATGCAGATTACAGGCTCCTGTTTTGTTATATACAATAGTTGTTCGTGTCATAAGCTTTGTACGTTATGGTCAATTTCCAAGTGACTCAGCGCTTGTGCATGTCAGCTGCTCATTTCACTGCCTGTTTCTTGACACTTGGCTGACCATTAGTTTGTTAGGTGTTGGTTTCTAATCCAGCCGATATTACCTAGTGCAGTTGGCTTAAGTTTGTTTGTTTCCAATCAATGTCAAAAACCTGCTTGTACATTGATAGCTTGTCTGACAGTGTCAACATGCAAACATTAAAAATATTTTTGTAAAACTAAAGTACCTTACAAATGAGTATTATTCCTTTTAAAAGTATGGATATTACAACAAATTAAGCCAAATCAAATATATTTCATGATCTCCAATAGACTTGCTTTCCTAATTTTGACTTATGACAGAAATACTAAAGAAAAAGATGTTTGCTTGAGATTCAATATGGTATTTGGACACTAACATTTCCATAGTCCTAAATAATAACAAAGAACAATAATCAACTTCAAAATGCAGACACTATAGAATAAAGTTTTCATGTTTGAGATCTAAAGTAGATATCAGTTTTATAATAATTAAGTATAATTTACTTTGCTTCCTAAGTCCTTGTTCTTTAATCTTAACAACTGATCAAAATTAAAACCAAATTCTCCAAATTAACCCTTTTACTTCCTAATTCAATTCAGATTTTCCTCTACTTTTCTTTGACCAGTATCAAGGTATTCCAAAATTAACCCTTGAGCAGCCGTCTCCTGATCAAGTCTGATTATGATTAATGACTATTCACTTCAAGAGTGGACTTTCATAAATCGGATACTATTAAAGGCTCAGTAATCAGCTTAGTGGAGAGGTTAATTGCAATAATTCCACTTTCTTAGTAAATATTTGATCTGTACTGACTTGCAGTTGCTCATTAGACCAATACAGCAGCTTAGCTCGGATGTCCAAAGCATTAAATTCATGAGCGTAAAAAGAGAGGTTCAAATGGAGGTTCATAAACAAAAAATGTATTAAAACAGTACTTATACCAGCCCTTGATCCACATCTTTCCATAAATCAGATCATAGTATTTGATTGGTAGACTTACTTCAAATTCTTCTCACACATGTGTATGATTATGATCTTCAGTGTCAGGGAGATTGTTCAGGTTTCTTTGAAATGTGAGTCATAAATTGATCAAAGTTGTACACACTGCCTGTAGACCTGTGTGCCCATCAAATGTCATGTCACTACCCTATCACAGCATGGCAGGGCTAGACAGTTTGATGTCAAGTGTTTATGAGCGAGATGACAGAACATGCCCATATACTCATGTTGTTTAGGTGGGTAAATGTTTCACTCTGGTTTATTGTCCTTCTGACAGACATTTATTTGTCGCTGCTGTAAACTATTTGTGTGTCTCTCTTTGAGGTGTCAAGAGTGTATAGATGGAACCGACAACCAATACATGCAGTTGGCTAGATTTGCTCAGGCCTCATTAAAACAACACTGTTGTAGATTTCCACCACAATTGCATCACTAACACCACTCCGAAGTGTAACCTCAGTCCTCCCATTGTGTAATTACTGAAGGAAAGTGATGTTTCTTCATTAAATGTTACTACATTTGAAGATATCACCCAACTTTCAAAACAAAACGAGAAATAAATACTAGCACTGCTACATTAGAAGAAGGATGTGCGGCTTGAACACTCAGGAGTGTTAACTGCAAATTTTAGATCATGTTTGATTCTACTGAGTACACTTAAATATTCGATTTAATTTTCAAAATCATCTTGACTTTAAGTGCTCTTACCTGTGAATTGGGGTCATTTTTCATGTTCTCAACATCTTTTTCTTTATGGGCTGAAAATCCAAATTCGTCATCTGTGTGATTTTCCACTCCCTTGCTGGTCCTGACGTTATCTACCTTCACCTTGTCCACATACTGAGTGAGGGAGCTCGGGAGTCTGCAGATACATCGACCCCTGCGGGGTCTTCGTCCTCTGCTTGTCTTTCCTCTTCATTACAATAATAACTAGCACAATTATTGCAGAGACGATGGCAGTGACACAGATGATTGTCACAGTGATGAGGACATTTTGGTCATTACCTCCGTGAGGACCGATCATGGTGGAACCGTTGCCAGCAAGGACGTTGACGAAGAGAATGGTGTGGGATGCATGGGGAGGAACACCTGAATCTTGGACCATTATCATGAACTTGTACATGTTAATGTCACTTTTGGACAGGTGCTTCGCTACAGATATGTCTCCAGTTTTGCCATCAATTTCAAATCGACCACTGTCATTTCTTGATGTGATGACATATTTCAGCTGAGCATTGATACCGATATCTGCATCTCTGGCATGAACTGATGTGATGATGCTGTTTATTTCATAGTCAGTGGATATCCGAGTTGAGTGATGGGTGATGTTGGGGTAAGTGATGACTGGCATGTTGTCATTTTCATCCAGGATTGAAATTCTGACGTAAGTAGTTGCACTTAGTGGTGGGCTACCTCTATCAATAGCCAATACTCGGAATTCATACTGACTTTCCACTTCATGGTCTATGCTTCCATTCAAAATAATTGTCCCATTTTGAAAAAGAGCGAAAGGGGAAACATTGTCAATTTCTGGTGAAAGTGAAATATACACCTCTCCATTGCGTCCAGTTTCGAAATCAAAAGCAACAATTTGTCCAACATTTTGCCCTAGTTTAGCATTCTCTGAGATATTGAAATGGAAAACGGAGTGGGAGAATGTGGGCTTCTGATCATTAACATCAATCACACGCACTGTCACTTTGGCAGTTGAAGTTTTGGGTGGATTTCCACCATCAACAGCAATCACAGAGAAATTCATCACTGGTTTTGTTTCATAATCAAACCTTGTATTGGCCAATATGAGTCCTGATTCAGGAGAGATGATAAACTCATCCCGGTTGTACATTGGTGACAGGGAATACCTGATATTACTGTTACTGCCTTCATCCAGGTCCTGGGCCAGCACTGTCAGAACACTGTCCCCTATCTTGTTGTTTTCCCTGATGGTAGCTGAATAGACAGCAGGGATAAACTGTGGGGCATTGTCATTCTCGTCTGTGACTTTCACAATGAAGCTTGCATTTACACTAAGTGGGGGTGTTCCTGCATCCTCACACTGTACGGTCAAGGTATGTTCTGCTTTATACTCCCGGTCAAGCGGTTTAGCCACAATCACCTTATACTCATTAACATCAAAGCCCTGCAGTTCAAAATAGTCATGCTGTAGAAGCTCACACTTAACAATACCATTCCTCCCTCTGTCGGACTCATACACTCGGATATGTGCCACCACGACACCCAGGTTTGCATATTCTGATATGAGGGAGAAGTTGGTGGTCTGACCGGTGAGTAGGTTCACTCTGATCCTTGGTGGGTTGTTGATGGTGTCCTGGACCTCCACAGTGACCACCGCCTGGGTCGTGAAGGGCTGCACCCCCATGTCACTCGCTTCTACAATGATGTCATACTTCTCCTCCGGCTCACTCTGAAGCTCACCTGTCACACTTAGCTCACCTGTCTGGGGGTTAATGGCAAACAGATTCTGATTCTTCACAGCCTGATGAGAGCTGAGACTGTACCTCACCTCTCCATTAGCACGGAATCTGCATCAGTGGCATTCACAGCCAGGATCACATAGTTCTGTGCCACATTCTCTTCCACAACAACACTGTAGGAATCTTGTGTAAATTTTGGTCGGTTGTCATTCATATCGATCACGCTGATTTCCAGACTGAGGACCCCCTGGTTGGGCGGCACCCGCCATCTGCAGCTATGACCTGCACATTGTACAAGTTCCTCTCCTCATGGTCCAGCTTCTCACGAACAACCAGATTCAAATAGGATGTTCCATCGAAGTTCTTGCTAAACTGAAGCTCAAAAGGTCCATCTGCTGGCTGAATGGTATATGTTTGTAGAGAATTATTGGCTCCAGTATCCCGATCCACGGCTCCATCCAGGGCGAAGGAGGCTCCAGTCACTACTTCCTCAGATATGTTCAGTGTCTTCTTGTTCGTTGGAAACTTAGGAGCATTGTCATTAACATCAGCTACTGCTATCTCCAAGGCAACTGTCCTGAAGAACTGGTTTAACTTAGACTTGATGGCAATCTCCAAAGACAAAACACAGGTAGATGCAAATGTACACAGAGTTTCCCTGTCCAACACATTATCACCTGATGTACGCAGGTTGCCAGTATTTTCATCCAGGCTGAAATATTTCGTTGTTTCATAATCTCCTTCTGTCAAAAAGCTGTATTGTAAATTTGAGAAGTCTGCTTCACTAACCATGGACTTCAGGTTGGTGTCATTTGGGATGTTTCCTATAAAGGTGGAGTGTGCTGGAGGCACTTCTTCAAGGATGTCGTAATAGTATGTAAACTCTGCACATCCACACATGGTCATGAAACACACAACAATCACAAAACGTAGACACACTTCCATCTTGTATCTTGCTCCAATCTTCATGTTACTCATTTCATTTTAGTCACAAGCTGCAAATGAAGAAAAGAGTATTAATCCACAGAAACATCAATTGTAAAAATATACAATACAGTTGGAGAAATAATTCAATATAACATATTGTATATTGAACCATTCATAAAATCCCATTTGTAAGATGAATGTGTCACCTGAGGCACAGTAATGTTTTGTGGCCAGTGGGTAAATCCTGCATGTGGCAACTATATAGATGGACTGAAAGTAGGATTGAGGGAACATGCTACACTGAAGCTGAAAGGCACTGTCCTGAATACATCACAAACCAGTATCAAATATTACCTTGATAAGTAAACAATCCCCATCCACAAGCTAGCCTAACACACCACCTCGCTCCAATCTCCTAACATCAATACTGCACTGCCCGAGACGCAAGGCTTTACACTGGGCCTGCCTACCGCCTAAGCTCCGCCTCCAACCAATGAGAAGCCGTAAGGAAGGTAACGGCCGTTTGATTGACAGGGGGCGTCAATTACCTTGATAATGACAGCCTGGGTTGAAATCAGAAGGCATTAAAGCGTTAGAAGATAAGCCTTAATAGCTGAGACAGGATCCCACTGGGATCTTTACAAATTTCTCACTGCCTCTGGGTCGATATAGACATTTTTCTTTCTTTCCCTGCCCCAAGCATTCCAAATTGCGCTTCTATACAAACAGTATACCTACTGCACTGCTTCACGGGACTGACTGCACAGTGGTAGTTTCTGCTTAATGACAAAACGAGTATCATTTTTTTCTCCCTCACCCCTCCCTCTCATTTCCTTGTCTTTCAATATGTGCCTGTGTTAGGTAATGTTAGTAAAGAGGAAGATGTTTAGCTGGCAGTGTTCTGTCTCGGCAACCAGTCACATTGATGGGGGATGCACTGATTGCAACACCAAGGCCCTCATTGTATAACAGGGAGATTTACTTACACAGATTGCAAAGTGAAAATTATAGGTTTGGATACATGTCAGCATCTTAAATCTCAGACTCATTTCCTGTGACATAACAGCTCAGCAGAACCTGTTGGTGCTAAATATTTATATAATTAAATCTTTATTTAATTTTAATTGATTAACTTGTCATCAATGTTTTATTTCCAGAAGCACCTGTCATTTTAAAAAATATAACTAGAGCTTGTCTTATCTTCATTCAGTTCATTACATTTCACAAAATCATCTCTTTAAACTGAAAGATACTGAGCATCCAACATTTGAACATTTTGTAGAACATTTTATCATTGTTTGTATCAACTGGCAACAGTTAATTACTTATAACTACAACTATTATTCAAATTGGATTTACTATTCTAAATTGAATCTATCAGGTGATGAAGTTCAGTTCAAGTTATCATAGATTTATTCTGGTCAGTTCCACTGTGGGATCTATGTAAATATCACTCACCTCCCTGTCAATCAAACAAAAGACCTGATATTTATGACTGTCCACTTATCTACATGACACACATATCACAGGGCATAATCCCAGGATAGATCACAGAGGCTAATGAGACATCCTCAACATCCAAATCCTTCGTCACCTCAAAGGAGGCCTTATCATTATTATGTACATATCATGTCCATATCATACCTGGGATGTCTATTACCTCATAAAGCACACTGAGTTGCATACACCTGATAATGTTGTATCACTCCCCCCTGCCAATCACTGGAAGGTATGTCATTTAGATAATGCTTATTTCACATAATCTTGACCCTTGATAGTAAGTCACAGTTTACCTGTCTGAGCAAAGAGGTGTATGTTTCACACTAATCTGAAACCAACACCTAATCTGTGACCACAGTGCCTGGATATAGAGATTATCGTGTTACTAGAGTTTGTATCAGAAAATAGGAACTTCCCTGATTTACTTCACCAATCACTATCAAAGAGACAATAACTTCAGAGGTTGTTAAGTATGTTCTTGATCCTGAAGCAAGAACTTTAAGTGGTTTATTGGTTAAAATTCCATCACAGGATTTACACATCAATGATTTAAGAATCTCCAGTATTTATTAGACATGGGTCTGGATGGGAACGACTCCATAAATTAAGGATTGTTGTCAAATTTCAAAACTGACATGGCTGTCTGTGTTTGGAGGCAGATAGTAAAGTTGTCAATTGAAGTCATAACGCTCTGCATGTACATTTCTGTTGATATGCACATGGCATTATTTATGCAGACATTGGTGATACTGGTAATTAAATCTGTCATTAGCTGGATAACAAGGGGCGGTGACCTTGTTCATATCAGAGAAACAGACAAGCTCGGTAGGGGTGTTGGCGGATTCTGTAGTGGATTTCACTGATAGGCTGCCCCACCTGAACTGATAGCCAGAACACCACAGATCATCCATCAGGCTCTATTTCACTATCAAATCCTGACAGCATTCAGCTGCCACCAACAGTAAACAGGGATTTTGAATAAGAAAATGTTCCAACATTGTACATGTTCCCAAATGATCATCATATCACTATTAACTGATGGAACATAACTATTTCTTCAGACATAACTGATGGAATTATTCAATATGTAGAATTTTTCAAAAATAATTGATGGAATACATATTTATTTTCAAAAATAGAATCATGCAGTTTGAAAACAAATTTGTTAATGGTGGTAATTTTTCCCCATATATGTAATGCCCCTTACAGATTAACTGCTTCCGTGAACCACATGTCATATATTTGTGAAATTTCAAACAAATGTCAAATAAAGCCTCCAACCCAGGTGTGGCAGGAGAGGACTCCAAGCATCAACACAGTTAGTGTGGAACCATGTTTGTCCACAGCAACTAAATGTATAGGGTTTTATCACGGTTGTGTGGATAGATGCTCATCCATCACTGGATTGTCTGACCCAGACTTGATCACTCTCTTACTACAGTAGCTGGAATATTTCTAACAAACCACCAATAATACAGTTACATAAACACAACACTCACATATATATATGTATGTTGCATACATACAATGGTATATGCTAACTTGTAGGACCTGTCAGTTAAAGTTTTATGTCCCAATACTGATGCCATTCTCAGTGTTGTCAAACACTTCACATTTACATCACCACACTAGGACCCCTAAAAGAGCCAATTACAACATAAAAGACTCATAAATTCATAATTCCTCACAAGCCACCAAGCCACCAGATGAAGCAACAAAGCAGCCCTATAGATGTCAGTATCAGTGCCATCAGTTTACAGCCATGTCTATAGCCCTCTCCCTATCAGATGTGCAGTGCTTCAAGTGCCCTCCACTGTTGTATATATCACTGACACACTCGGCCACCAGCGTACATGCCCTCTCCCAGCCACAGATAACTGAGGTGTCAGCTTTATGGTGGTGTAATTGCTTTCCCTCTACTAAAGTGATGCAATGTTCTTGTCTTGAAGATGCTGGTGTAATTAGCGAAGCCCTGACACTGATAATGGTGGGAAATAAACATTACAGACATTCATATTGTACATACCTGTCAATCATGTTGCACACACCGGAAAATTGATTCTACATACCTTGACAGGCTTTGTTCAAATTCACGAACTGATGCCAAATTTTGTATTTTATACCCCAAGCAGTTCATACTGTGAAAGCTTGTTTGTATTACATATAAAGAAAAAATTCAGAATAAATCTAAAGCATGACAAACAAAAAATCAGACAAATATAAATATTGATTTTTTCACTAAATTAATTAACTCATACATAAGTTCATTAAGTCATTAATGAAAACACTTAAGTCAACACTTTCTGTCTGTAATGAAGATAGACACACATATCCACACACCAGAGGTGTTGTAAGTTTCATGCCAGCACCTCGGTTGGACACTACAACAGTTAATTTCCTTAAAAATATTTTAAGATACACCTAAGACTTGTTTGTTTTTACATTTTTGCACCAACAAACCAGTGCCATCCAAACAGGGCTGACCTTGGCTGATCTGTCTGACACTGTGTTGCTGGGCTGTGCAGTAACAACACTACAGTTGATGGGGAGACAATAGGCTTCACACATTGCTAGACACAGCCAAACCACACAGTGGCTGACACCTAGTGTCAATCATCCAATGAAATATACATGGAAATTGACATGTTTAGGGTAATTATACACACACAGCTGAGACTTTCATTGTTTTTCTTATGTTAATTACTGAAGTCTTTCCTCTCTTGAGGTTAAGTGTTTTATGACAGTGCTCACTGGATGATATTCTATTTGTCATATGATCAAACAGACCATATGCCCATCATATATGCCTATGTAACTAAAAACAAAATAATATACAAAACTTAAAAAGTTCTTTTATATCATTGGAATAAAATCTCAATATGGAAAATGAAATTTAAAATTACCAATCACATTTGTATGGTTGAACAGCTACAAATTAGGTAACACAAGCAGTGTGAAATTCTCCCAGTGCAAGATGTACTTAAATAACAATTAAGCCAAACAGTGACACTGATCTACTTTCTAACAGAGGTGGGTTGGGCCGGTGTGACAATGTCCTCACTATGAGTGACTAAGACTGGTAGGTAAGTCTGTACAACCAGACAAGGAGTGTTGGCAGATCAGGAAGACATTAACACAGCACACACACAATCTTTATTCTCAGTAAAGTCTAATTACATTCAAATCAAATAAGGAAATGTGATGGCAAACTTCTGTAACCCTCTTAAAGTGTTTAGTGTGCAAGAATGGGAATGTGAAGACTTGAAGTGCATCACACATCACCTTAATCTCCTCAGCAGACCCTCGACTTCACTCAATAAACAAATACTCTCATGCAGGGATATTAGTTAACTATAATAGCAATTTTAAAAATTTCAACTTTATTTTACAATTTTAAATTTGACTTCATGGCTCCCTTAACTAATGTAGTGTTAGTTCTCCAGTATTTCCTCAGTATGTGTGTTCCACTAGATACAGGACTATCCTTCCTGCACTAACCCACCTGAGGAGAACACACTGATTCCCCACACTATAGGTCTTGAAAGGCTGTATGACCGATGGGGAGGCA